ATTGATTGAGCCATCAGCATTAAGCTTGATTCTGTACACCCATTTGACTCCAATTACTTTTCTGTTTTGGGGTCGATCAACCAACTCCCATGTTTCATTCCTTTCAATCATGAATAGCTCCCCCTTCATTACAGCAATCCAATTTTGATCCGTCTTGGCCTCTTCATAATTTGTAGGTTCACAAACTGCAATATTGCATCTTTGATAAACATCAGAAAGTAGTCTTGTACCTCTGATAGGACTGTCATCCACCATTTCATTCTCCCAGTCTCCAATGCTAGGAAACTTGAGCTTGTGCTCTTTTAAGGTTAGATCCATCTTTTTTGCATCATCCCAGTTCCATTCTTCATCTTCCATAAAGTGCACATCCCTGCTTATAATAATTTTTTTAGTTTGTGGCTGAAAAACTTTATAAGCTTTTACAACTGAGCTGTAGCCAATGAAAATGCCTGGAAGTGCTCTTTTATCTAATTTATCTTTCTTGGTCTGTGGAACATAAGTGAAGCACAAACATCCAAATATTTTAAGGAAATTTAGAGATGGTTTATAACCATACCATGCCTCAAAGGGTGTTTGATCCTTCATTGCTCTTGTGGGAAGCCTGTTTTGCAAAAAAACAGTAGTATTTGCTACTTCAGCTCAAAATTGCTTTGGCAGGTTCTTCTCATGTAGCATACATCGTGTCATCTCCAATATGAATCTATTCCGTCTCTCACTTACTCCATTTTGTTGTGGAGTGTATAAAGCGGTTAATTGATGTTGGATGCCTGCCTCTTCACAAAAATGAGTGAATGCTTCAGAGGTGTACTCTTTGCCATTGTTTGATCTGAGTGTTTGAATTCTATAGCCACTCTCATTCTCAACTCTGGCTTTAAAGTTCCAAAAGACTTGAGCCACTCTGACTTGTACTTTAAAAAAAAGATCCAACACATACGGGTGAAATCATCAATGAATGCAACATAATAAAGACTATCTTTCAGAGAAGGCGTTCTTTGTGGGCCTGCAATGTCAGTATGAATTAATTGTAACTTGTTTGATGCTCTCCATGTTGCCTTGGGAAATGGTTTCCTACTTTGCTTTTCAAACTGACATGCTTTGCAGTTTGGAATATGATCATCAAGTTCTGGAAAATCATTTACCATCTTCTTAGATTTCATCTGCAGCAACCCTTGATGATGATAGTGCCCAAGCCTCTTGTGCCATACTTCAGTGATATTTTCTTTGATTGGGAAAGCAATTTGCTCTTCCTCCAACAGATTTAGAGCAAAGCTTTTCCCTTTCATTTTTACTTTGAAAATATCCTAGCCAACTGCATCTTTAATCAAGCAACTTTTATCTTCGAACACAACTTTATAACCTTTTTCAATTAGTTGTCCAACACTTAACAAGTTTTGATCAATTTTAGGGACATATAATACATCAGAAATGAACTTTGTACCTGAACAAGTTGAAATTGCAACTGTTCCTTTTCCCTTCACAGTTATGCACTTGCCATTACCAATTCGAACTTTCGATGAGTTTGCGTTGCTTAGTTCCCTAAATAGATCCTTGTCATGTGTCATGTGGTTAGTACAACCACTATCTATAAGCCAACTCTCACTTGATTCGATGCCGAAGAAACATGTAGCTACGAACAGGTGATCTTCCTCCTCTTGATCAGCAATCTTTGCATCTTCACCATGTTGCAGAATTTTGTTTTTACAGATAACAGCTTCATGCCCCATCTGATTACATTTAGTGCATTTAGCATCAAGTCTTCTCCAGCATCTAAATGGAAGATGACCCTTCTTTCCACAATGTTGGCAAGGTGAATATGATTTCTTCTGATTTTCATTCTTTCCTTTTGCATTGGCTGATGCAGTACTTGCCTCATTTCCTTCAAAATCCTTTTTCTTCTTTCTTTTGCTTTTGGCCACATTTTGATGCTTAACTGCCAAAGCTCCTTCAATTGTTGTATCTTCTCTCATCAGTCTTCTTTGTTCTTGTGCTTGCAAAGCGTTAAGCAATTCTGTTAAGGAAATTTTTGACAGATCCTTTGTATTCTCCAAGGCAGTGATGGTTGCTTCATATCTTTCAGGTATTGTAACAAGAATTTTTTCTACAATTCTTGAGTCAGTAAATTCAGATCCAAGAAGCCTTACTTTGTTTGCAATACTCAGAAGCTTATCGGAGTAATCTTTAATCGTCTCGGAGTCCTTCATTCTTTGAAGTTCAAATTCCCTAATCAAGTTAAGGACTTGCATCCCTTTAATTCTTTCATCTCCTTCATATTCATTCTTGAGATAATCTCATATCTCTTTTGCTGACTTCAGAGACATGATACGAGTGAAGATGATGGATGAGACTGCAGTAAACAAGTAGGCATTTGCCTTTGATTTCTTTGTCTTCTTTTCTTTTTGTGCTTTAATCTGTGCCATGGTGGGATTGTTTGGAAGTGCAGGAATTTCATAGTCTTCTTTCACTGCTTCCCAAAGATCTAAAGCTTCCAAGTATGTCTCCATACGTACTGCCCAAATCTGATAGTTGTTTCCGTCGAACACCACCAGAGCAATTGCGGAGAAACTGGCTTCAACTTCCATGACGCGTCAATTTCACACATAGATCCCTTAAGAAGAAAGCTCTGATACCAAATGTTATATCTTTGAAGCAAAGAAAACTTTACTCACTGTTGCATTTCTTAACATTAGAAACATTACAATTTAAAGCCTAATTAATAACTACCCACTAAAATCATAATCCTAAGATTAAGTCATGACCACCAACATGAATAACAAAAAAAATAACCAACACCAGAAAAACAGGAACAACATGAAACATTCAATGAATCCACATTAGCAGTCCTAAACACATCTTCTAACACAAATGATGGGCTGCCTGTCAATCTCAGTGAGAAAATTTTCTCAATGATATATGGCATTACAACGAGGGCAGCATTTGGTAAAAAATGCAAAGACCAAGAAGTATTTGTAGCACTGATTTCAGAACATTCGAAGCTGTTATCAGGCTTCTGTTTAGCTGATTTTTATCCTTCAATCAAGTTGCTTCAACTTGTTAGTGGTCTAAAGATGAAAATTGAGAAACTTCATAGAAAGAATGATGAACTGATTGAGAACATAATTAATGAACATAGAGAAAGCAGAGCAAGAACAAAAGGCAAGGGCAGGAAAATGGAGAAAGATCTTGTTGATGTTCTCTTAAGGCTTCAGGAGCAAGGTGACTTTAAACCGGCTGACAGCAACATCAAAGCAGTCATCATGGTAAGTAAGCACTGATCTCCAGTATTTAGAACCATTAAGAATTCCAGTTTTCATTCGGAAACTCTTTTTATTATGGTTTCAGGAGATTTTCAGTGCAGGAAGTGATACTTCATCAGCAACTATAGAGTGGGCAATGTCAGAAATGATTAGAAACCCAAGGGTGCTGAGAGAGGCACAAGCTGAGGTAAGGACGCACAAGCTGAGGTAAGGACGGCTTTTAAAGCAAAAGGAATTGTTGAAGAAACAGAGTTTCATAAACTCAAGTACATGAAGGCGGTTATCAAAGAAACACTGAGGCTCCACCCTGTTGCTCCTCTGTTGCTTCCAAGAGAATGTAGCAAGACATGTGAGGTCAATGGATATGAGATACCTGCCAAGACAAGAGTCATTGTAAATGCATGGGCAATTGGAAGAAATTCTAGTTACTGGCCTGATCAATCTGAAGGTTTCTTCCCAGAGAGGTTTCTCAATAGTTCAATGGACTACGTCGGGACAAATTTTGAATTTATACCATTTGGTGCAGGAAGGAGGATATGTCCAGGCATATTGTTTACAATAGCTAATGTTGAACTCACACTTGCCCAGCTATTGTTCCACTTTGATTGGAAGCTGCCAAACGGAATGAAGCATGAAGATCTCGATATGATTGAGTCCTTCGGCTTGTCTGTGAAGAGAAAAAAAGCACTTCTCCTCATTGCAACTCCTTACCATGCTATTTCATCTACTGAATAAGAGCACATATATTGCACTCCTCAATGTTATGTATAAGTCACCGAGGAATAATAAGATGGTTAAGAATGTCAGTTTCCAGCCTGATTTCTTGATTATAAGTTTTCTTTCAACTTATTTTCTGGTTTGATGGGTTGAACTTGAGTTACATTCATTTCATTTTTTATATATTCTAAAAACTTCTCTTAGAAGTTCACATTGCTAGGGAATATTTTAGCAGGAAGTGTCATACAATTAAATAGGCATATGAACACGTAACAATTTTTCATTTATCTTACATATGTATACTATCTACATCTCAAAAAAATTCTCACGGTTTGACTTTTTGTGATTAATCAACTTCGACTTAAATTATTTTAAATATTGTAATGAATTAAATTTTTAAAAATACATATCCAAAAACTACTTCATTCAAAGTTTTTAAAAAGTATTTTTTTCATATTTTAATCAATAAAAAATTTAAAATAAAAAGAAGTCAAATCTATAAAATTTAATCATAAAAAGTCAAACATTGACAATTTCTTTTGGAACAGAAGGAATATTATTAAGGGTGACCCATATATGATAGGTATAATTGACCCTAAAAGTTATAGATTCATTGATGATGTAGGCATCTAAGTTTACATGCTAGTTAGTACTTAATGTCTAAGAGATTTCCAAGTGATTTGAATGAAATTAACCTTCTTTTCCATAAATTTAGGGGTTTAAAATACATTATTGTTCCACATTTCAAAAATTAGGGACCAACTTTATAAATGGGATTTTGATAAGGTTTCTATTTCACCTCTCCTAGTAGAGAAATAAGTTCTAAATGACAATGTTAAACTTTTAAAGTCGAGCTGAAACCAAGCTACAAAGACATTGGGTAAAGATTTTTTTTTTTTTTACAGGTTGCAAATAATACAAACATAAACCGAATTATTTTATTTTTTTCTTTAACATAAAAAACTATAGTTTGGAAATAAAAAAAAATTACAAATATTATGATTTAAATCTTACATTTATTAAATGTCACTTACTAAAATTAATTGCATGAATCAATTTCGAATTCAATATAAATCGGAACATTGATAGTGTGAATTTTGAAAGTAAAATCCAAGAAAAACTCCCTAAAGAGAATCACACATGTTTTAAGTACAAATTAAATCAACTAAAGTTGATTTGGAGGGAATCGTTGTTTCTTCTCTTAATTGATTTTAGGACAGAGATAAAACTTTGAATCTCTGAAAAACCGTACAATTGTCTCAGCTTTTTCAGCAGAGAGATCTGTAGCTTCCAAAATGAATTCCTTTGATGCTTTAGCAATCCCTTCAATTGAACCAATTGCTTGATTTAGCTGGAAAGATAACCAAGGAGTTATTCAACCAAGAACACTTAAGATTTAAGCCCTTTCCTTCTCTGACATGGATGAAGTTTTAGTAAAATGTTTCTACCATTTCAGACAATTTCCACCAGTAAATCACACCTTGGAAAAAAGAAAAAGACAGAACACTTTAAGATCTAAGCCTTTTCCTTTTTGTCATGGATAATGTCATAAATAAGAATTGCATGAACCTAGGACCTCAGGCACAAAGATGCATGCATGAACCTATGAGCACAGGCAAGAAGTTTTTTCCAAAACACAAACGAAGGAAACTAGAAAGAAGGGGAAAAAAACACTGAACAAGGTGGGAAGCATTAAGGTCAACTTCAATACCGCATTTGCATCATGGTTATCGATCCCTGGTATGGATGTGACCACTCTAAGGAAATTTTCCATCCCCTGCACTGATTGATTCCTCTTCACATGCAAGAACACAAAAAAAAAAAAAGAAATAAAATTTAAATGGAAAATGCAGCTCAAAACCTTGTCAATAGATTATGCTTCAATATATAGATCTTAATATTGATAATGAAAACAAGTTATGATCCACCAACAAACCTCAGCTTTCAACTTTGATTTAACCTCCTGCTGTTTGCAAACTGTAGTTACATAGTAATTTATCACTTAATCACTCTAAAGGTACCATTCAAGTGAAGTTCAGTGGATAGGATCTTCTTACCTCCACAAGAGTGGGCTATCTTCACAATCTTTTCAAATCCCATCTCAATGTCTTGAACTGGCACAAATGTTGGTCTACCAAGCTGCATTTCATACCTTCACAAAATCGCAAAAGCCATTCAAATTAGTTCTTTGAGAATTATATAGTTAAAAAAGTTGGTATTTGATACACCGATAGTAAATCTGAACATTCGCTAATGGAGTCTAAAGCCTTTACTGATAGTGAAAGAAATAATTTCTCTAGTTAAAAGAGTTAGCATATGAAACACCAAAGAAAAAACAAAAAAAAAAGAAACAAAAATGTAGTTTCATGAAATTACTTGAAGTAAGAGCGGACAAAAGAATCATTTTGGTCCTTAGTTGGAAGGTTAACAACAACATAAAGATGAGCAAACTGTCCCTTTAGTTTTTTTGCCCTGTACAAATCAGATCAAATGAATAAGAAGATGATGATAGAAGGTCAAATGAGAGCAATTACAAATGTTGCACCTGCAGAAAATTGTTTCAACATTGCAGCAATCCCATTGTGTAACAAAAATAAATGCTACTGACAGTCCTCCACAATTGAAAATGAAGTCCTACACATGATAACAACTTGCAGCTGATGAATGAGTAACAAAGCAGTAATCATTAAATGAAACAGTAGTAATTAGGATGAAAAGGGAAAGAAAAGTAAATACAGGGGAAATTGGAACGAAGTTGAGGCGGAAAGAATTTGCAGTGAGGAAGGAGGAGATGAAATTGATGAAAGATGTGTGTTGTTGGTCCCTCCAGGAATTGTTCATCATGCAAACACCGGCAGTAACTGAAACAGCAATTATATAAAAACAACTAATTCATACAAGTGAAGAATTCCGATAAAAGCAATTACAAAGCTGATAATCTCCATATATAATTATATATATATATATATATAGATAAAAAAATGGACATTGATCGAGCACTTGTTGAGCAAAGCAACTCTCTGCTCACAAACACAAACAGCAGCTGCATTTTCTATGAAAAGATTGATTCCTCGAAATCATTATAGCAATGCATAACAAATGATTGAACCATCAAAATCCGGGGTACAAACAAAACACAAGGAGAAGCAGAAGCAATCAATCTGAGTTTCTACCTGAATTCCTCTTAACCTTGGAAGATAGGTTTTCAACCATGGGATCTCCGTAGCCTGCTTTCAAATTCGCCATTTGCAAACGATTGCACCATCAAAATTTTGAATCTTCCAATTGAGAAATAAAACAAACAGGGCAAAACTTGGCGGGAATTCAAGTAGCTACCCTCCGGGTCCAACCAATTTTTGTCCTTTCTTATTTTTGCTTTTGACCCATAAAAACAATTCGAAATAGGTAATAACGGATAATTCGGTTTGGTTATTTAAATTAATGTTATAGCATTTTTAATTTCAAATTTCAAATCTGAATCAAAATTTTTTTTATTAAATCTAATTGACCTGAATCAATCGATTTGATTTTATCCATTTTTTAAAATTAATTTTTTTTAATTTTCTTATTTTTTTATATTCTTTTAACTATATTTATATATATAATAGTTTTTTATTTTATATAAATTTAAAATTTATATAAAAACTAATAAAAATATAAATCAATTTAACTATAATTTTTTATTTCGTGATTTAAAAATTAGTTTAAAACTATATTTTAGTATATAATATCTTATTCAAATTAAATTAAATAAAAAAATCGACTTAATCCGATTCAAATTAAATATTACATTTTGATTTAGTTTTTTCACCAACCCTAAAGATTAGGCAAATACTTCGGTTAGATTAAAAAGTAAAATCCCATAAAACAAAATACTTAATACCCAAAAAAGAATAAAAAGTAAACCCCCATCCGCTTCTAGGCTGGAGCCCTTGCCCTCTTATGAACAAAAAAAACCTAAACAGAACAGCCAGATAACTGATACCTTCAGCCTGTCTCATTTAGGGTGACAGCCAACCTATCACTTTGACCCAACAAAAACACGACCTTTCTTGGGTTTCTCAGAGCTTTATTTAAGTTGATTGCAGAGAGATAAAGGCCATGGCTTTCGTCTCTCTAGACCATATGCATGTCGGCAGCACACAGCGCGACTGCACGGGTCTGCATTCTTCCTACAAGAATCAGAGTTCCACAATTAAAAAGTCCCATTAGAATAAACCTATGAAGATTATTTTCCCCACACCAGAACTCCTCACAACTCTTTACTTCTTGAAGTTCGTTTTGATGAAAGTGCAAATCAACAGCATTCACGAGGAAGAACAAATTATAATCACAAAAATGACTGTTGTAACTCATCATTATTGCTTGCTTCTGATGTTTTATGACTTCAGTTTCATTTTGCCCTGTCAGACAAAAAGAGTATTCAAGTTATTCAAACTGAATGTCAACAAAGAAAAGTCAGAAAACAGGTCATACTGAATCATTACCTCTTGTTAGAATGTAAACAACAAAAACCAATACGTTCAAACTTCATCTGCTCGAAGACATCACTTCCTCAATTTTCATAATTATGACACTAAGACTGCCACCACTTTCCATAGCTTTGTAAGCAGCTCGATGAGCATGTCTATGCCATTTAAGCAGATTGTAAGACTGTAGCACTGACCACCTTGCTTGATTTGACATCTTCTCAAAGGTAATGTGGACACTCAGTCAATATATATCAAAAGAATAACATCACAAATCCATGCAAACTCAGAGTGGTACCTGCGCTACAGACAGTGGAGGTTGCAGAAGAACACAGATGCTTCTAAACAAGTTTTCATCATTCTCACCACCCTCAGCCTCACCATAAACAAGAGCTTCAGCTGCAATGCCAGCAAAAAGTACCATGCAGTATCTGAACATTAAATCATACCCCATCATAATTATTTCAGGCTTAAGCCTTCACAAAACACTTAATTAAAATATAAAAAAAAAAAAAAGATACTACTGCATAGATGCTGATTCCAATAATGACTTTAAAACCTGCCATAAGCAGGTGTCCAGGCACAGAATTGAAGATCATGGGCAATCTAAATCAATCTGGTTGTGAAATGATGAATTACAATGGAGAGCTAGTTATATAGAATAAAGTAATGCTTTTTGAAGGAATCATCAAGAGAGAATATGGTTAACATTTCTATACATAAGCTGGAAAAAAAATTCCTTTTTCAATCAGTTTGAACAGAATATTTGACATGAAACATTTCGTAATGAGTTTAGGAAAGATGAACATTACAAATCAGATGACCAGCTAAAATCAACAGTTTTATCTATGAACAACAGAAACCAACCTGTCAAAGGTGGAACCACTCAAATGTCCTTCTGCCATTTCATTATTCATTTTTTCATCCCAAAACTGAGTTCCAGCCTGTACAAAAGTGCACAATTTGAATTCTTATCACCCCAATAACACTGACGTATGGCAAGCCAAAATAATCTGATTCCTAAAAATGCCATCCCAAAGAAAGACAAGAGGGATTACAAAGGCAATGCATTATCAGGAGCCATTGCCTGGAAAAAGGAAAAAACCGCCCAGGCTTAGAAACAGAAGACCACAAGTTTGACTCAAGAAGGCCACCAGCCTCCAGCTTCATTTCATGTAAAAGTTATCTAGTGATAGAACCATATCCAGCTTAGCGGCTCACAACTAGCAATAGGAATTTAATTTTTCTTTTTCAAGTGTGATAACTAATACATAATTCAACATAGTATAAAGGACAAATTAAAATGAGAGAAGATTTTGAGATACCAGAAGAACTAACAAATCCAAAGTCAAACATGATAGAAATATCCCAACGAAAGATATTAACTGATTCACTATATAACATATAAATGTCAAACAACCAACTAATTTCTGGACTCATTCCTTTGATTATTCATCTTTATCTGACACTGGAAAATAAAACCTCTAAATCTTTTGCTCAGATATAAAACTTGACCTTTCAAATTAATATTCATTCAAAACTACAGCCTTATGTTAACACTATTTTTGATAAACTGTAGCCAAAAGTAGTGAAATTTGATCACATGACCATGAAGGATACAGTGCACAATAGCATGTTGCCAATGTTAAGATAAAATAAAAAACAGAGAAGAAAAGGTCCATGAAAAACAAATGATAACATAAATACCTGCCCTTGAATGCCCATTTGCATTGCAACAATTGGGTCTAAAATCACTCCACGAATAGGGCAACCCATAAGATATGCTGTGAACAAACTAACAAACAATTAATTATGCTGCTAACATCACAAAAGCAAATATAAAGAGCAGTATTGCAGAACCAAAAGAAAGCATAGTAGGTGTTAAATGTGAGAAAAATCATCTTCCAAGCATGAATACAAGACATCTAGTGATGGAACAGGCATAAAAATTTCATACGTACAGGTTCACAGTCAATGTTTTGTTTTGTATGCACAAGTTGCTCTGATGTCAAAAGCAAATAATCGATCACATACCTACCAGCAGATGCCCTGCTTCATGAACTAAAATTCGACGCCTATATGGAGGCCAATAACTTGAGATTTGAGCTAAACAGGTACCACCAAGTAAGATAGAGTCTGTGAAGGCTAGCCCCAATATGATTGCAAGTTGAGGCCTGATATCAATTCCTTGTTGAAGTAAATAGGACACTCCACCAAGAAAACCGACCAATACAACACTTGAGCTTCCAGAAAGACCCCACTTCTTTGGAGAAAATTTAGAAGCTGAATATGAGAAAGAGAACTTCATAAACAACTAATTTAATGGGATTCTTTTTTATCATTTTATGGTAAACAGAAACTGCAATGTGCCAAACATGAGTACAACTTTAGCTCATAGGGAAATCCATGACAAAGAACCAGAAACAAATAGTAAGATATATACATTTCCACACATGTAAGTGCAAATTCATTCAAATTAAAATGAGGTGAGGTCATATAGAACAAATTAGACCAATTCGGGAAATTAATATAAATATACCTTCTAGGCCAGTAGAAGACTTCAACACAGACGGTGTAACATCCCTAGTCCCCTCCAAAACTGCAGAATGTAGGGAATAATTTAGGGACCATCTTATCAGAAATAAAATAAAATGTAGTTATTATAAATAAATATATAGAGGGATGTCCTCATTAGGCTGTAGCTAGTCCTAGTCACAGAAGGATGTAGTTGGGATAATATTGCACAAATATTATCAGTAAAAACATGTCCAGTAGACTATTTATTGCATAGAATGATGAGAATCAATGCATCCTTTCTAAGAACTAAGAAATATAAGAAAAGAAGAAACTAAAACAAGGAGCATATCACCTACAAATCTTTTGGCTACAATCCTACCGTTGTCTAATCACAATAAAGAATTTATGTAATTGTCCACGACTTATTAGTGATTGGTTATTTGTACCACAATGATTGTAGGTGAAATGCTCCTTTAAAACAACAAGAAATATACATCAACATCCCACACATAATAACGACCAAGGCATTAAGCTTGCATTTTGATAGTCAAGCATGAAAATAATGGCTAATTGGGAAGACCAACAGATTTGCAGTAAGATAAATAAAAAAGTTGTAAAATACTAGTCCACCCACCCTATCACCCGTTTCACTTAATGACATTTATAAAGCATAGTTAGCATTAGAAGCCTGGTATAAAGCATGGCTCTTTAGAAGCAAGGAACCAAGCAGTGAATGGACAACCAAGCCAACAAATACAAGGTTGCAATGTTAATTTATATAAAGAATCAAATTTATTTAGTTTATTATTCATTAATAAAAGGGTTAATGTCACAAATGGACCCGGAACTATGGTGTAATATTCAATGTGATACTTGAACTTTAAAAATTTCTAAAATGATACCTAAACTATTAATTTGAACTATGAACCTGTTAACTAATATGAAACTCATCTCCAACACCATTAGCTCTAATAGATGACACATGGTTGTCAAAAAGCCCTCTAAGTACCACATTAGTTAATAGATTCATAATCCAAATATCACCTTAGAGGTTTTTAAAGTTCAAGTATCACATCAACATTTCCATATTTTTCATAGTCATTCGTGACATTATCCCATAATCCATCAATATGACCAAGATGTAACACAAAATTATGCATATCAACAATACTTAAGTTGCTAAAAAGCAAAATAAATTTATCAAAAGCTTAAAGAGAATCTTTTAAATTCTCAGGCAATTTGTCTATATTTGCCATTCGCACATGTTTCTTTGACTTATTTTAATATCTATACCATTCAACAATCAACAAAATTAAGACAGCAAATTATCAAACAAGCATCCAAAATTTCTGAAAAACCAATATTGATTTACCAATGCTATTGAATCTTCCATAATTGGGTAAGAATCCTTTGTCCTTAAGGAAGCCGTAAGCAGTGCCTACAAGCCTCATATCATCAGCATTAAGACACGTGTCTAACACCACCCAATCACTCATCGACCCTCTATCACCAACAAAACCCAAATCGCCGACTTGTGACCGAGTGGACTCAGTGGGTAAGGAACCATTTTGCTCAACTAGGTTGTCGCTGTTGTTTTTATCAATGGATATGAGGAACCTTAGAGCTGTAGCTAAGTCCTTCCGCTTCACTGCTTCCTCGTATTCTTGCCATTCCCTCAGAGCTCTTGGTCGGTGGTAGTAGATATTTCTTGATGCTGCTGATAGTGGTGTTTGGAAGAAAAGAAAGGAAATTGGATAAGGGCGAGAAAGAGGAAATGATTGGGAACAGAGAAAGTGTTGTAAAATTTTGGGCCAGGATAAGGAAGAAGAAACAGAGAGAGCCATGAAAAAAAAAAAATTTAAATGCTTAAAGAACTCTTTAGCTTAAGAAAAAAATGCATACAAACCAAAAAAATCCTCGTTTGCTGATGAAAAATTACTTAAATAGAAGCAAAAGGAGTTACTATTACTATCAGATATTTCTATACAGAGGACAGATATTTTATTCCTTATTGTCCTATACAGGTGAAATAAATAAATAATTAAATGCAAAAAATTAATAAAAAATTAATTATTTTTATTAAACTGAAAAAATATTGAAAACTGTGTATTTTTAAAATTTTAATCTATAAATAAAATATATAAGAATAATTTTTTATCCACTATGTTTTGGATTACAACTTTTTGTTTTAGAATAATATGAATAATTTGTTATGTTACTATTTTCATTTTTTTTATATTTAAGGACCAATTTTTAAAAGTAATAAAATATTATCTTTATTAAATACATGAAATATCACAATAAAAATAAGATTACATAAAAAAAAATTAAAACCTAATATTTAATATATTATCCATTAGTTTGTAGTTTTTTTTTTTTCCTATATATAAATAGAGGCAAATCTATGTTATTAGGCAAGGAGGTAAGTTATCTATTGACAACTTTAAAAATAGAAAAACAAAAAAATTTGAGTGAAATTTTTTTTGAAGTTTTTTTTTGGACACTTTAAAAAAAAATTTGGATAATTTTTTTTGAAGAATTGAATAATCTGTTAGAATAAAATTTGATAGTATTAATAATGATGTTTTGTTGAATAATTATTTAGTTATATATATTAAAAATGATTAATTATATAATATTAGTAATAATACAAATATGTATTTTTTTCAAGACAAAAATTTATCGTAGATAATTATAACAATATAGCAATAAATTATTTTAAATTTATGTTTACAGTTTTTTATTTACATTATAAATAAGCATCCTCTGAAAAAATTTTGAATTTGTCACTATCTATAAACTATTTTATCATAAATTATAAAATGAAAATAAAACAAAATAAGAAATTATTTTTATTTTACTATAGATCAATTTCATCATTAAACTTAATTTGTTACCCATGATAAGATAAAATAATCTTATGTTTATTGTTGTGGTTTGTTGATTTACATTTATTTTTTATGTAATTTTTGCTATTTTCGAAAATTTTATGATATGTGAAATTGTTTACTTTGATTTTATATTTTTTATATTTTTTATTTATAATATTTGCAATTGTTTATCATAATTTTCTTCTTTATTTTTTTATAATATTTAAATAATTGGTTTTTGTATTTTATAATTTTTGACAAATTTAATTTAATGCCGATGCATTATTCTCAATCTATCTTAGATGCATGTTAAGAAGGAAAGAAAGTAAAATAACAGTACTTACACGTTTTTTTGAAGTGAAAAAAATAGGAAGAAGTCAGTTTAAAAAATGATTATAACTCTTATTTTAAATAAAAAAATAAATTGCTTATATGATCTTATTAATATATGACTATTTTATAATTTAAATTTTATCTTTTTTTTATTAAATTTATGCCATTTGACGCATAAAACAAATTTAATCAAAGGCTTTTATAGATGTATAAATTAACTTTTGCCAATTGAGATATTATGACATAATAAAAGAAGTGCTACTTATAATTTTCTTTTTTTTCAAATCTCATCCCTTAAAAAAATTTTGGCTGAATAAAGTATTTAACTTTTACTTCCAATAATCACATTTAATCCAAGTCTCAATTATAAAAAAAAATAATAAGAGAAAAGTTTAAAGATAAATTATAGTCAAGTCCTCGAATGTTACCCTATTTAACCTCCAATCTCCTAATTTTAAATCTGACAATTTAAAATACGATAAAGTGATACAATATGAAAACGATACGAATAAATGATACAAAGATAGCACAACTTAAAATTTTAGACAAACCATAAATAAGTATAATAAAACCAAAAATTATATTTTACGTTTTTGTGTCGACACAAACTATGACACATGATTTTCGTATAAAATATAACATGAATATGATATTTTACATGACACGATAACACGAATTGCCAAGTCTACCTAATTCAACTCCAATCCTTTAATTTATGAAATATCTACCCAATCTCATGTTATTAAAGAGAGTTAAAAAGATTGTAAAATTATCAAAATACCAATACAATGCCACCTTCATAACAAGCAAAAGAAAATTGATGGTTTATGTTAAATAATAAGCAAAATCGATTAGAAAAAAATTTCTCAATGGCTTCATCCTATAATTAGGAAAAAAATTGATTGCAATGTTGAACCAACAACAAGATTGGAAATGTAGAATAAAGTGTAGTGCGAGAATTAGAGAAACAAAAGAAAATCAATTTAGAAGTATAGAGTGTCAGAAAATATCTTCTCAAATTGCAAAAGATTTAGGAACGGGAAGAATTTAAGATTTTCTCTTAGAATCTTTATTTGTGGGTATGTGATTTTTATATTTAGTTCATGGATATTTTATTTTTAAAATAATTTTAGATTCTCAATAGTACCCAAAAGTTTCGAAATAAAAAAAATCCATCTCTCCTTATAATTTTTTAATATTTCAGGAAAAAAGTTACTTTTGTTCCACATTTAATCTAAATAAAAAATATTTTTTTCTATTCTACCTTTTTGAAAATCAATGTATGGTAAAAAACTTAATTATTATTATTATTATTATTATTTTACAAACGTTTTATTGCAAACAAATAGTACAAATATTGCATTTGTTAAAAGCTTAACATAGTATTTGAGTTTTTTTTTTAATGTCAAATACGATTTTCTAAAGAGCAAAACATAGTAATTGTGATACTTTTTTCTCTAAAATTTTTTTTAATTGAATACTATTCTTTTTTTATTTTTTCACTCTAATATTGTGTTTGCAGGCTTTAAAATGCAATATTTGTGATTATTTACTACGTTTCTTTAAATAGAAATGTAATATTTGACAACTCGTTTATTTTCTTTATATTTTTCCACTCGAATACTATGTTTGCATGATTTGAAATGCAGTATTTATTATTACTTACTGCATTTCTTTGAATAGAAACTCATTATTTGAAAACATATAAAATTTTGGAATTTTTCCACTCTAATACTATGTTTAAAGGCTTAGAAGCGCAATAATACTTGTTAAATACTGTGTTTCCATTCGAGGAAACATAGTATTTGACAACTCGTAAATTTTTTTTTAGAATATTGTGATAAGAGGCTTTAAAACGTAGTAATTGTGATTATTTACTGTATTTCTTTGAATAGAAACACAGTATTTAAGTACTTATAAAAATTTTTTATTTCCCTTTCGAAACTGAGTTTCTGACATAATAAACATTCTTATGTCTAATCAAATAAAAGCTAAATTTTTAATAACAATTACAATGTTTCTAACATAAAAAATATCGTATTTGGAGTCTTTAACTTTTTTGAATAACAAAGACCATTTCTTTTAAACCACATCACAGATCTCTAAGCAAAGACTTTTCTTTTTCAACCAACATCAGCTTCAACCTTTGAGATTTTATCTTCGTGCTATTCAGTTTATCTTTTATTTCTCAATAAATGGTATGTCTACTATTTGTTAGATCATGATCTATTTTGCATTATTTGTTTGATTCAAATGTGTTCTTATTTTATTTATTTAGATCTTATTTATATTTTAATTGAAAAGATGTAGATCTATCATATGTGTTTTTCATTTTAGTTTTAGTCTTTGATTCGTAGATGTTTTGTTATTGGTTTTTTTTTTTTATGTGTCTTAGATTCCATCTATGAAATGCAATATATTTGCTTTAGACACATGTTTTCAACATTAACTTAAATTTTTTTTGTAAACAATTAAGACTCGTTTACCACTAAGAAAGAAGATACATTTGGTAAAAGTACTTATTTTGCAATTGAACTAGATGGAGAATGAAACTTAGAAAAAGACAAACTATCTTATGTTGATAGCTCTAATGATAGGCTACAAATTAGAAAGTTGAACTTAAATGTAATGATTTTTTATAGCAAGAGATAGTGTAGATACATGTAGAATGGATAAGAGAACTTTTGTTAAATTATGTCATTTTATTTCAAACACAAGAAAGATTATAGGTATCTAAGTATATGTCAATAGAAGAAATGATTTGTAGCTTCTTTCACATCATTGCCTATCATACAAAAAATAGAGTTATGAAACGCCAAATAACTAGATCTAGAGAGACAATTAGTAAGCAATTTCATGTTGTGTTAAATTTTGTTCTGAGACTCAATTCCTTGTTATTTAAAAAACCCAAATTGATACCGAAAAATTCAACAAATAATAGATAAAAATGATTCAAAGTTTGTTTAGATGCCATAGATAGTACATAAAGGTGAATATAGACTCAGTTGATAGCTCTAAATACAGGACTAGGAAAAATAAAATTATTACAAATGTTCTTAGTGTTTGTACACCAGATATGCAATTCATATATATTTTACTGGGATGGAAAGATTTCATAGCAAATGGCAAAATGCTAAAGGATGCTAAAGGACATGAGTTATCTATAGACACCTTTAAAAATAGAAAAACAAAAAAATTTGAGTAAAATTTTTTTTCAAAGTTATTTTGGACACTTTTAAAAAAAATTTTGGATAAATTTTTTTGAAGGATTAATAAATCCGTCAGAATAAAATTTGATAGTATTAATAATGATTTTTTGTTGAAAAATTATTTAGTTATATATATTAAAAATGATGAATTATATGATATTAGTAATAATACAATTACGTATTTTTTTCAAGATAAAAATTTATCGTAGATAAATTATAATAATATAGCAATAAATTATTTTAAATTTATCTTTACAATTTTTTATTTACATTATAAATAAGCATCCTTTGGAAAAATTTTGAATTTGTCACTATCTATAAACTATTTTATCATAAATTACAAAATATGAAAAAATAAAACAAAATAACAAATTATTTGTATTTTACTATAGATCAATTTTATCATTAAACTTAATTTGTTACCTATGATAAGATAAAATAATCTTATGTTTATTGTGTGGTTTGTTGGTTAACATTTATTTTTTATGTAATTTTTA